CCAGTTGAACTATTTAAAATCTTAAAATATGACGCATTTAAGATGCTACACTTAATATGCTAGCAAGTTTGGAAAACTCTGGCAGTAGCCAGAGGATTGGAAAAGATGAGTCTACATCCCAATCCCAAAGAAGGACAGTGCCAAAGAATGCTCCAACTACCATACAATTGCACTCATTTCACACGCTAGCAAGGTTATGCTCAAAATCCTACAAAGTAGGGTTCAGTGACCAGTGGCCATGTATCTGGACCAAGAACTCCCAGAAGTAGAAGCTGGATTTCGAAGGGGCAGAAGAACTCGAGACCAAATTGCTAACATGCACTGGATTATGGAGAAAGCCAGAGAGTTCCAAAAAAATCTACTACTGCTTAATTGACTATGCAAAAGCCTTTCACTGTGTGGACCACAGCAAACTATGGCAAGTTATTAAAGAAATGAAAGCGCCTGACCACCTTATCTATCTCCTGAGAAATCCATACGTGGGACAGGAAGCAACAGTTAGAACTTGATATGAAACAACTGATTGTTTCAAAATCGGGAAAGGAGTATGGCAAGGCTGTATATTGTCCCCCCGGCTTATTTAACATATGCAGAGTACATCATGTGAAAGGCTGGACTGGATGAATCCTGAACCGGAATTAAGATTGCCAGAAGTAATATCAACAACCTCCGATATGCAGATGATACCACTCTGATAGCAGAATGTGAGGAGGAATTAAATAACCTCTTAAAGAGGGTGAAAGAGGAGAGCACAAAAAATGGTCTGAAGCTGAACATGAAAAAAACTAAGATCATGGCCACTGGTCCCATTACCTCCTGGCAAATAGAAGGAGAAGATATGGAGGTAGTGACAGATTTTACTTTCTTGGGTTCCATGATCACTGCAGAGGGTGACAGCAGCCATGAAATTAAAAGACGCCTGCTTCTTGGAAGGAAAGCGATAACAAACCTAGACAGCATGTTAAAAAGCAGAGACAACACCTTGCCGACAAAGGTCCACATAGTCAAAGCTATGTATGGAAGTGAGAGCTGGACCATAAAGAAGGGTCACTGCCAAAGAATTGATGCTTTTGAATTGTGGTGTTGGGGGAGGCTCTTCAGAGTCCCCTGGACTGCAAAGAGAACAAACCTTTCCATTCTGAAGGAAATCAACCCTGAGTGCTCACTGGAAGGACAGATCCTGAAGCTGAGGCTCCAATACTTCAGCCATCTCATGAGAAGAGAAGACTCCCTGGAAAAGAGGCTGATGTTGGGAAAGTGTGAAGGCAAGAGGAGAAGGGGACGACAGAGGATGAGATGGCTGGACAGTGTCATCAAAGCAACCAACATGAATTTGACCCAACTCTGGGATGCAGTGGAAGACAGGAGGGCCTGGCGTGCTCTGGTCCATGGGGTCACGAAGAGTCAGAGACGACTTAACGACTAAACAACAACAAATGGTGAAACATCAACTACTTTTTCTCTCCTACTATTTTCATTGCTTTATTTTTACTGCCTGGGGTGGGGAGTGTTGCTCCTATGATTTTCTGCCTTTTCTACTAAAATAACATGCCTGACCTTAGCTACTGTGTACTTTGACAGTACCTCAGGCCACAAAATGTCTTGGACTGGCCCCACTAGGGATTGGCTCCCTATCTAGTGGAACCCATGTCCTTTTCTGATTTCCCACCCATGCACAGATGCAGCACATCATGGAAGTGAATGGAAAGCATGGTTAGTTGAGAGAGCAGTGGAAGTGAACGGAAAGTGCTGTTAGCTTCTCATCCTCACATGCCCCATCCAGGCCTGGTATGAGCATTCTGGAAATCCAGAGCTAGCGGGAATTGTACCCCTTGGTGCCTGGGGAGGAGTTGGATCCTGGATTTCACAGTTCAGTTCTCTCTTTGTGTTTCTTTGATCTGTAGGTACAGAGAATGATTGCTTGTCATCTCAGTGCCCTGAAAACAGTGGAGGTGGGGCACTATGGATCTCACTGACTATTTGTATCATACTGCAGTTGCTCATCATATTTGTTCTTACGGTGTTGTTGTGGAGAAGAACCTGTAGGTAAGTCAGGAACCTATGATTTGTTGGCTGGTGAAAGCTATGCTTAATTTGCTTCAACTATATCTGTGTTTCCTTCCAAACAACATATTTACCTTTATTCGCTCATATACCCATTCTTCACACATTTGTTTATATGCCATGTTCTTCACCTTCTTCTTGTGAGAGGACTTTTCTGTGGGGGCAAAAGCACAATGTTGCAACACTACAAAGGCTACTAAATCTCTTTCAGTGCAAACGTTCAAGTACAGTGGTGCCTCGCTAGACAGTTACCCCGCATGACAGTTTTTTCGCTAGACATTGGCTTTTTGCGATCGCTATAGCAATTCGCAAAACAGTGATTCCTGCGGGGGAATTTCACTGGACAATGTTTGGTCCCTGTTTCACAAACTGATTTTTGCTAGACGAAGATTTTGACAGCTCCCTCCATGCTCGCAAACAGGTGTTTTCGGGACCTAAGCTTCGCAAGACAGCAATTTTAACAGCTGATCGGCGGTTTGCAAAGCGGCTTTGCTATGGCCGATCTTCACTAGAAAACGATGATTCTTCCCCATTGGAATGCATTAAACAGGCTTCAATGCATTCCAATGGGGAATTGCTTTTTGCTAGACAATGATTTCGCTAAACAGCGATTTCAGTGGAACAGATTATCATCGTCTAGCGAGGCACCACTGTATCAAAATCCACTTCTTCAGACACAGAGAATAGAATTTTGGTCCACAAAAGCACTTCGTGGAATAAATATGGTAGTCTTTAAAGTGTTACACTGTTCTGTATTCTTTTTGTCCCTTTTTTCTCTTTTATTTTTGTGAACCTAGTGAGACAGATTCGTACGGCCAGTTGTTTGGAAGCAAGAAGGAAGGTGCTGTAGCACAAGATCATGTTTGTGGGCTTCCTTACAGGCATTTGACTGGCCACTATGGGAAATAGAATGTGGGAACAGATAGGCCTTGGGTCCGATTGTTCAGCACAGTTGTGCTTAATAGCATGCTGCTGTATGTGTGTGTAAGGGAAGTCTTAAACTCATCTAAATTCATATGCCAGGATGGCCGAAAAATCCACCACAAAGAAATGTGCCAATGACACCTTAATTAATTTTTTTTTTTATTTTGATACCACAATTGATATACAGAGCTCTGTAACAAGTAAAGTGACGAATCCACTTAGCTCTGCATTAGGTATTCTTCATTGGTGCTTTCCCCAGTGCTCCACAATGCCACCTCATTTTACCTAATGGTAGGGCTGGCACTGATTTTTAAAATGTGTGCATCGTGACGGAGCTTGAAACAGCATAATGGCCATTGCCCTGTTGGCTGGGGAGAGGGCACTGGGCATTTCTTGTTCTGCTGTGGTGGCCTGATTTTCACCATCTCTCCTTGCAGTCGGAAGCATCAAGACCATCTAAAGGAACTCAGCAAAGGTAAGGACAGAGATTTCTGTAGACTTATTGTGCCTCCATTCAGACACAGGTTTCTTAGGTTGGGGACATTCTCTGATGGGATTGGGCAAACATAATCCTGGGGTGTTGATGGCCGTAGGGAGGATGTCTAGGTTCCCCATCAGTAGAATGAGCAGGAAAGTCTCCAAGCCCAGCAGAGTGGCCGTACCACACTTCGAAGCAAGTGAAGTAATACATATCAGCAGATCAGGTACAGGGTGGGCATGTCAGAAGGCTATGTCACTCAGCTTCAGAGCCTCAGTTGGACTAACTGCATCACTAGACCCAGATTTCAGAGAGGAAACGAAGGGTCTGGATGATCATCTATTTATTAATTTTATTTATGAAACATCTGTCCTGGCTTTCTTTTGAAAATAATGCCCTGGGCATCCTACAATTATTATTAAAGTGTATTGGAAGCAAATTGAAATGAATTGGATAATAAAATTATTAGAATGAGCAGAACATTAATATCATCATCATCAGGTATTCACGTTTTGGTAAAAATTGGGTGAAGATGGACCATGTTTTGTCCTGTCTACATTGCACATTGCACTTTTTTTTGGTTAACTTAACAAGTCTAATAATGTGTTTCCTGAAATCTGGAAGTTTCCTCATCTTCCTGGATTGATAGGTTCGAGGGAACCTCCAGCAGGGGCTGGTAAAAGGGAAGGTACACCAGTGAGTGATGGGTGTGGCAAACCCCACAGACACAATTTACGCCAACTCATTTGTCAAAATAATTCAATCTTAGTTTCAGAAGTGAGTTAAAATAATCGATCCTCCCTCTGCTCAGTAAAACACCCCACTTTTTGACCAAAAAACATGCTTCTGAGAGAGGGGAAAGTCCGAGCTTCCCTGTGCATTGCATGAAGTCACCTTTTAAAACATCAATTTCAAACATGGTAAACTCAATTCAAATGCCCCCCCCCCCCAGTTTAACCAAATCTCTGAACTGACTTTTGGGCCCACTGGGGAAATGTGTCCCTTTTCTAATTTCCAACTGCTGTTTGCTTCCTGCAATTGCTGTGGAAGAACCATCAGTTTTAAATTTAAACCATACATTTCACTGATTCAAGCGTGCTTGATTTTTGGGAGAAGCTCTCTATTGCTCTTTCTGTAGGGATTTTTCATTTGGTTATGTTGCCTTAAAATGTCCAGGTTCCTCCCTGTCATTATTCTTTTTTTTTAATTCTCAGATTGTTGTTCAGGAAGAAGCTGGGCTGCTCTACAGGCAGTTGGCTTCTTTCCTTTCCCTTTTTAAAGGCAGATTGTTTTTAATTGCTTTCCATGTTGATTGATGTTTTCAGCATTCTGTTTTATTCTTCTAGCCTGCTTTCCCTTGGCGCATTTTATTGTTCCCTTGGGTTGCATTTTCAGGGAGAAGGGAGGGGCAGAAAGCTCATGAACGCTGTTTTGAGGCAGAATTTCTGTCAGCTTCCTGCAAAATACAGCTCAATCAAAAAACCAAAAACAGTCTTACTCATACCTCTGCCTCTTACAGATATTTCCAAGTTGGAATACAAGGCACAAGTCTATGAGAACATCAAGACCCGATCGGAGATCCTGTGACATGGGAAATACTCTGCTTCTCACTGACTCATCTAGTCCTGGAACATAGCCAGCAGCACTTGAATATTATTACATTTTCCTCGCTTCTAACCTTTTCCAGGAATTTTTTTTTCTTGTGGGTTATTCCTGTGAGACTATCTCATCCTCTCCAACCTTTTGTAAATTTCTAGATCAGCTGTCCTTAGTCAATGGCCGTCCAGAGCTGGACAATAAAAATTCCAAGGATTCTGCAGATATGAGCCCCAAAGGAGGGTTGTGTAGAACAGGAATTCTTAACACTGGGCGTTCCAAGAGGGATTTGAAGGCTGAAACTCTCAGACGTCTCTGTGGATTCAACTCTCAGACACAGCCATAACTACGGT